AATATATTTTAAAGCGCATATTTGAGCAGAAATTTTATATACATGATTATTTTGGATGACAATACAACAATTTCATTATAATTAAAAAAAAATTATAGATTAAAACTAGTTATTTAAAGAATTACAAATACAGCCACGTTGGCGACTTGTTTTGTCAAAAAACTTGAAAAGGATTTTTTCTCACGTTTTAAAGCATTCAGTTGAACTGAAATTAAAAAAAAAAAAAAACGTTTGTTTTGGATAACAATACGATACTTTAATGATAATGAATAAAAATTAATTACCATTTAATGTTGTGATTCTGTCATATGTATATACATATTTATATTAATTGTAACTATTTAATAAAAAGTAGCTAAAATAAAACTTTTGTTTGTTGATCTAAGTAAGAATTGACTTTATATATATTACTTGTTTAACAGTATATCGAAGCAAAAACCAAAACTGGAACATGTGATGTCTGCATTTAGCTCTGTTTTATTTATTTTATTGATTCTTAAAACTTTAAATGACCTTTTCTCAAGTTTTTATTCCCCCCTATAATCGTGTATTTAAAACGCTAAGGTATTTTTTTATATTCAGTATAAAATTTAAACTTTTTCTGGTTATTTTGAATACATATTCGATGATTCTGTGCGTGAAATAAGGATTTATGTCTATAGTTATTTTTTAAACAATCATAAAAGTTAAAAGTAGCAGGTTTTATTAATTCCCACTGTTTGCTTACACTCTCTATTTATTTATTTATTCGTTTATATTGGTGGTATTTTCAATCGTCAATAAAATACATTTTAAAGCGCTCCATTGAGCTGAAATTTTATATACATGATCATTTTGGATGACAATACAATAATTTAACTACAATTAATAAAAATTAATTTTTTGATTAAAACTAATTATTTAAAGAATTACAAATACAGCCACGTTGGCATCATTTTTGGCGACATAGCGACTCTTTTGGCGACTTGTGTCAAAACTGGAAAAGATTTTTTTTTTCCTCACGTTTTAAAGCATTTAGTTGAACTAAAACTTTATATACACGATTGTTTTGGATGACAATACGATACTTTAATGATAATTAATAAAAATTAATTACCACTTAATGTTGTGATTCTGTCATATGTATATACATATTAATTGTAACTATTTAATAAAAGTAGCTAAAATAAAAATTTTCTTTGTTGATTTAAATAGGATTTGACTTAAAAAAATTGTTTTTACATTACTTGTTTTAATTATTTTTAATAGAGTCTGACACGAAAAAAAATTGTAAAAATAAAAGTATACATCATTTTACTAATCTTATAGAGCAGTGATTCTCACAACCACAGTGTCGTGGCACTTTTGTGCCGTCAGATTTTTTTTTACTATTATTGATTATACTCTGAAAAAAAAATTAAAAAATACAGAATCGAAACATTCGGTCATTTTATAAAAATAAATTATTCATAAAATTGTTATTGACCATTTGAACGAACTAGCTAGAGGAGAGAGTTATTCAATCCTACCCCAAATTTAGATATAAAAAAATTTGGGTCGGAATCCATTCCTGATAACGGATATATCTGTATAAGAATTAACTTTGAATGAAAAGGAAGAACTAATTTATCTCTCTGTACTAATCAAAATTTAATTTCAAAACATTTGGCAGAGTAAATTAACTCATTTTGGATTAAAATTAAAGCCGATTATTCCAAAATAGGTAAAAAAGCTTTAATGTATCCGACTACGTTCGGAACCGTGATTTTAAAAAAGCGCATAAATGGATAATTTTCATGATATTTAGTGTCACTTAGATTAGAATACATGTATAAAATTGTTTTAAGGACATTTTGACAAAAAAAATTAGTTAAATACATTATTTTAGCAAAAAATTAAATTAGAGTAATCTTTTTTCAAAATGTTCTACATTTATAAAAAAATGCATCTGAAATAATAATATTTCACTGTCAGCCAAAAGTAAAGACTTCTCCAGAGAGTTTGAACTAGGATTTTTGAAAAATTCACATTATTTTCAGAGTTACCACCTATTGAAATAATTATCGGCGTCTTTTTCTTAAAATTGCTCCCCTCTGTTGTGGTAAAATATGGATAAACTCACTTCTAAGTTATATATTTCAAAAATTCTAGTTTAGCTTCTGAAGAGAGGTCTGAGTTATATACAGGCAAAATATTATTATAATAGAAGCATTTTTCTCAAAAGGAGAATATTTTGAAAATGGGTCATTCTATGTTCATTTTTTGTCAAAATATTGTACATAAATAATTTTTTATTGTAATAGCATTCTTAAAACAATTTTATATACATTTTCTAATCTAAGTGACACATAATATGATAAATATTATTCATTTATACGCTTTTGAAAAATTACGGTTCCGAACGTAGTCGGATACCTTAAAAATATTGTTACAGTTTTCTACATCTTGTTTGTGGGAATTCGTATCTTCAGCAGTAACAAACATAAAAATGAAACAGATCGAAACTTTTAAATGTAGATGACAATATGAGAGTGTCATTCTCATTTTTACGACCCAATATAAACGAAATTATCACAAAGATCCTCAAGCTCAAATTTCACATTAGGTGTATTCTTACAATTAATCTGTAATGAATGATTAAATAAACATTTTGTAGTCTTTGTCATACGTATTATTTCACATTAAACATTATTATCATAAACTATTTTACATTGTGTATTATATATAGATAAGTAAAATTCTTTTTAACTTATTTTATAGTTAGAATGCCAACAAATTCTAAAATTGTTGAAAGTGTACCGCAACGAAAAAAAGGTTAAGAATCACTGCCATAGATAAATACTTCTTTGTGTGTTAAGTTCTTGTGAGGAACACAACTTTAAGAATACCGGGAAAGAAAATTGTTCAAAGATTGTGAGAACCCCCCCTGGGTTCCACCCTGGACACCAAGATTAACTTGAAGCAAAGAATGACCAGACACCATTTGTATAATAATAAATTATATTTATTCACTTAGTTCAAATATCAAACTTCTAATGACAAATACTTAACTAGATGTCTACTTCAAAAAAAGGGATTTACCTTCCCTATTAAATTAAATTACGAAATATGAAATTAATCAATTACTAAGCTCACTATCAAAAAGGGTTACTAGAATAGGAGGTCTGAGAAACACACGCAACTTGAATTATTAGCTTTCATTAAACTAATTTTATTAAACTAACGCTTGTGGTAAGCGGTATGAAGCTAGAATATATCACCTGGTTGTACTTATGATCTCTCCAGGTAGATTAAAATCCTCCTAAGGCTCCTTCACTGAATAATAACAGCAATACTCCAATATCTTAATCCTATTGAATCCTCTAAATCTCGTCACTACTGCTGCTGGCTCAATCCTCAAAGACGCCTAAGAGTATTAGTGGAAAGGTGCCGTAAAGATTCGTCACAAGGTATTAAAATTTGTAGAATTTATAGTAATTCTAAAGTATTGAAATATTTTTTAAACACTTAAATTTTAGAATAATATTGTTTGTATAAAAATTGTGTTTTTCTTCTGAAATGTATGTTTCATGTGCGTTGAAATAGGGTACATTTAAACATTTTCACATAAATATATAAATAAAACAGAATGTGTATAGGGTATCGTGCAGTGGCGTACACAATTTTTGTGTGCGCTACTGGTACTATGTTCTCTTAAATCCCCCGTCGAGACTTAAAATTTATTTTTTATTTAACAAAAGTTACGTGAGATCAGTTAGGAAAAAAGATTAGCTTTTTAAATCATTTCTGAAATACAGCCGATTAAAGAAAATAAAGTATCAATTTGCTCCCAGGTTTTACATCGAAATCGACTGATTTCTTTCTCATTCCCTATTTCTTTTTTTTTTAATCATTTTATTCAATTAATAAAATATTCCATGTGAAATACATCATTTTATACTAGAGGACTATGACCTCACATTCATTTCTACGCGCTAATATCGTGAAATTGCTTTTGCAGCTTTTCTTTAAACTGATTATATGATTCATATTTGTTTCTTTTAGCCCCGAAGCATTTTCGAAATTCTTGCAAATAGTATATTTCGTAAATTCAAATTCCAGAAAACATTTTAACGTTCTAATAGAATTCTAAAATGTTAAGTGTTTTTTTGTGTTAGGTTAGGGAAAGAAAATTATTTTTATTTCTCGATACGAAATAGGGGAGGTTATTCTTTGCAACAAAAAATCATTTATAAGTATTTTAAACAAAAAAAAAATTAAAAATAAAAATTTATCACATTTTTTTTTTCATTCATCTCCGAAAAATTCTTTGAAATAATGTTTGAAATGTTTACTTCGATGTCTTCACAGTAACAATTTTGAAAATCATTGCATGTTTCGATTTTATTCCAACACACATTAAATTCTGATTGGCTACTTAAAAGCGTAGTTTAAATTTAACAAGTAATATAAAAAACATTTAAGTAAATACCTACTTAGGTCAACAAAGAAAAATTTTATTTTAGTTACTTTTTATTAAGTAATTACAATTAATATAAATATGTACATACATATGACCAGTGGCACCCACAAGAAGGATGTCCTAGGGGTCCAGACACCCCCACAGCCCTTAATTTTATTTTATTACGTAAAATTTAATTAAGTATTTGTTATTAATAATTAATTTTATTAATTAATGATAATTATTTATTCAATAATTAATTTTGTATTGTTTTTGTTCCCGAAAATCGACAAAATCAAAAGAATATGTTGGGCGGCGTATTGAAGCATGATACCAAAATGGTGGACTTTCGACCCCGGCTTTCACCCCCCCTTGAAAAATTTTTGTGTGCGAAATTGCATAAGACAGAATCACAATATTAAGTAATAAAATAGAAAGCTATTTTCCTTGCCATTTTTCTTTCTATATAGGTGTGTTTTCTATTTTTTGTTTATTTGTTAATATTTATTCATTGATTAAATTTAACTATTCTAATGAAATAGTATAGTAAAAAATGAAATCCCATTCCCAGAAATTAGGCCATCCCAGGTGGGATTCGAACCCACTACTTTTGGATTACGAGTCCAACGCGCAATCCATTACACTACAGGGACACAACGAGCGGTTTTCCTTTCTATATATGCTGTTGAACTATTATTTTTGTTTGGTAATATTTATTCATCTTTTAATTTAATAAATGAATTAATATTAGAAAAAAGTATTAACATCAAGTGTCATTCACTATAAGTTTAAAAAATGTATTTGAACTTAAATGGATGAATAGAAAGTATTTTATTAACGATTGAAAATTTGAATAATATATATATAGAGAGAGAGAGGGAGAGAGCGAACTCTAATAGTGGGAATTGAAAAAGGAAAAATAATAGCTGAGCTAAAAAAATAAAATAAAATTTCTTCCAAAAGGTTTGCCGAATTGAAATAAAATTTAAGTAAGCAATAACACATTTTTTAACCTTTCGTAAAATGTTAATCTAGCAAGCGAAAAATACTCGAAAAAAATGAATCTTTTTAAGACTAGGAGACGTTTTAGGAGGTTGACTATTTTGTAGTAAAAACCAAACATGGATCAGCAATTGTTTGATTTGTTACGAAAGTAATGTATTTAAAAAATACCAATAAACAGGAATCATTCAATTACACTTTTCGTATATTCGTAACATTTCGTTCAGCGCAGATTTCTCACAATTAATTTTTCCACAAAAGTTACTATAGTCTTGGTATTGTGAATATTACGAAGAATAACTTCAGTGTTTATTAGGGCTAAATTGTAACTAATACCAAACTTTAGTATGAGACTCTCTTCTCGGGCTGCTGCCGCAGTAGCTTATTGATCCCGGTCACGAGCTCATGGCCGGAGTTGTTGAATCATAGGTTAGAGTCCTGGGATCATTGAAGACCCGCCGTGTGGAAAGGCTGATGACCATGATTGGGGCTCAAAGTCCTCAAATTGGCTAGTGTGAAAGTTAGGAAAGTGTGGTGCCAGCTCAGGTCACTTATCACTTGACCATATTTTAAAACAGGGTTGCTTAACTTTTTTTTCCAGTGGGTCGTATACATATGTCAGCTATTTCACGCGGGTCGGTCGCAACATGAGGATAAATGGGGCAGCTGGGGGGGAATGCTTTAAGACCAAAGGCGCACACAAGGAGGGCGTCCTGGGGGTCTGGACCCCCCTTTAAGCCCTTGATTTTTTTTCGATTGATTATAATTCTATAAGTACATAGTACGAGTAAAATTTAATTAAGTATTTGTTATTAATGATTAATTTTATTAATTAATGCTAATTATTTATTCAATAATTAGTTTTTTACTGTGTTTTGTTCCCCTTTCGACCCCGCCCCCCCCCTGAAAAATTCCTGTGTACGCTACTGCAAGATAACATTGGAAATTTAAAATGTGAAAAATTGATCAAAATATTATAACTCCTGTTTTGCGTTTTATAATTATTAATAGCTGCATGGCTCGGCGTTGTACGGGCTATCTCTACTTTTATACATTTTCCCTTTCTTTCACAAAATCAGAGCTTCTAATACTCATTTTCAAAATGACTTCCCCCATCCACCGCTTAACCCGGCGTTGTTCGGGCTTTCTCTTTTCCTCATGACACCAGCATTTCTGTTTGTGTGTGTTTGTACGCGCACAATATGAGTGATTTCTAAAATTATGTCAAAAAATTTCCCTTTTTCGAAATTTGCTCCATTCCAGTTATTTTTGATTTAAGACAGGTTTCTTTCCCCTCTCACGAACACGTTCTTTTTAGTGTAAAATTATTGTTCTATCTTCCCCTCCTTCTCACAGATAAGATATAGCTTCAAATTTCGATGTATGACTTATAAAAAAATATATTGCGTTAGAATTTAAAAAAATTATTGTGAATCAATAATAAAAAGAAAACGATTCTGATGCTAAGAGTAAAGTTTTAAAAAATAGTGTAATGCGAAATTGAAAGTTTCTGCCTCCTCAGTTTCGAACCTGGGAACTGCCGTTTCATAAAGCGCAGCCGATTTAACAATCGCGCCGTCAGTTCCTTCGAGGAAAAGCATTGAATTGAGCTTTAAAATAAAGGCAGATTTTTTTTCAATATCCATTTCGTTATTCGTTAAAGTAAAAGATTTTTTTTTCGGGCTTCATTTTTATGTTAATGCTTTCAAACTTCATATAAATAATAGACGATGTACTTTTTAATTAACGAAGAATTCCTTTAGTAATGAAATAAAAGAAATAATCCTTTTAAAAAAAACATATATTTATTAAAATCAAACTTCTATAAGTAATTAATAAAAGAAAAATTTACAGATTGCTATTGAAACGATCGCTTTTGTAATCAAAAAGTATGAAACAAAAATAAAGAATGTAATTATAATTAATTAATTATTACTGACATTTTAGGCAATTTTTTTCGTTTAATTTTGCAGCCGCTGGAAACCCAAAAGTACATTTTTTTTTAAAAAAGAATAATTTATATATGGAACAGAAATTTTCAAAATTACAAAAATATTAGATCGTGTTTTAAAAACCTCTGAAAAAAAAGGAAGTTCCGAAAATATTTTTAAAAAATTGTAAAATAATTAAATTGAAAGAAAGATATTGTTTTTTTAACCGTAATTTTTAAGATATTTTATCAATCTTTGTACAGATCACGTATAATATTGTTCTACACGCGGAAAAAAAAGAAAAGCAAGAACTTTTTTTTAGTGTAAAATATTTTTTCAAGCGGAACAACTTATAATTCGTATTCAAAAAAGGAACCGATTTCGACTCATTTTTGATTTTAAAAAAAATTGTAAAATAATTAAATTGAAAGATATATATATATATATATATATATATATAATTTTATTATATTAATTTTTAAATAAGTTTATTTGTATGCAAAGTTTCGTTGTTTTGTAAAAACAGAATTTTTTTCCGATTTTCTCTGTAGATGGCACCTCGATGCATTTTAATGCGTTTTAAGGTTTTTAATTAATATCTTTTTAACTAATTCGAATATCGGAATATAAATGGTTAAAACGGATTTCTCGGATCATTCCTGAAATTTCGATACCTTCTGCTAGTTTCTGCGTCTTGTGGTTCTTGAGAAAATTGGGATATATACCTACATAGATACGTTGTTTACCTACGAATTTTAATATATAATATTTTATATTTTTCATTTTTGTCACTAACACTTCATTAGAAGCATTTAAGAAACACTCCTTTACAATTTCTGCATCAGTAAACGGTTTCATACGATTACCAATAATATAAGAAACTTCATAGGATGTTTTTGTTACCGCTGTGATATTACCACTGATAAAACACTTTGATTCTGTTGCAAAGACTATTCAAAAAAGACTATTTATCACCTCTTGAATGAGATTTTCGACGAAAAGTGTCATTGAATAATTCCTGTTTAGTGGTATTTTTTAAATACGTTACTTTCGTGACAAATCAAACAATTACTGATCCATATTTGTTTTTCACTACAAAACATTCAATCTCCCAATCGTCTTAAAACTGTTTATTTTTTTCGAATATTTTTCGCTTGCTAGATATGAAAGATAGTTAAAAAATAGCTCCACCCTTGAAATGGTCACTACTCCACTCTGTTGTCTGTTATCACTAACCGTAACCGTTCCAAATTGAGAAAGAATGTCAATTGGTTCCCCTTATGACACAGACAGCAAAAAGCAAAATTGATATGTTTGATTTCTTGACAAAGAATTTCCCACCAAATTTTTAATACAATGTTCTTAAATACAATAAATAAATTTCTCACAGCAATGGACTATGTCCGTCCACTTAAAAAGGTTTGGTGGGCTACGGGTTGAGAATCTCTGATTTAAAATATCGAGGTCTGTCAACAATAGCCCTCGAGTTGCTTCAGAATGCCATGCTAATAAATACTAAGGTGACCATTTTTTTTTTTACAATGAAAAGGAGGATGAAAAATTTCAGAAACAAATTACAACTCAAGTATATGAAATGTTTTATTAATTCAAGTAAAAATACGCTTGCATTCTTTTTAATTATTATCTTAAACGAGTATTTTTCCATTGAATGAATTTTTTGTCAACGTTTCATTTTTTAATACATCGGAAAGTTCGGGCAAAAAATATCCTTCATACTTAATTTTACGGTAAGCACTGTAGCTAAAATATTGACATTGAATTTTGTGATTTCTCACTGTTCATTTCCCAAAAATCATTACCAATTTAAAAAACCTCTTTCAACTGCTGCATTGATTCCAAGGCAGCACAACGTAAATTCAACAAGAAGAATTACATTTTCATATGGGATGTGTTCATTTTTGATATGGTTTAAGTAATTTCACCCATCTTTTGCCCATTTCTCAGCATGTTGATTTTCCAATTGCTCTAATTTATTAGAATTTAAATATACATTCAGTCTTCTTTCTAAAACAGACCATTGTCATTCATTTTAATGTAAGGCATTTCTTTCGACAAAAACTCAACGTCATTTTCTGTATCTGCCCAATCTACTTGCGACAAAGTAAACAAATACCAATGAAAACTGTCATTTCCTGTGATAATTGTTTCAGACTATTCTTGGACATTTTGGAAACATGTTGGGTTCATCTCTGAATACAGAGATTAACTGATCAGTGTTAAAATATTGAAAAGGAGGACACTTTTCGAGGAAGGACAGAATCTATAAAAGGAGGACTGCCCTCCCTAAAGGAGGATGGTTGGTCACCTTATAAATACACATCACTACTATGGATTCAGTTCGCACGTCGTGCAACGCACGAACGTGCTTCAAACTTTTCGACTCCCGGAACCTCTAGAACTATAAGATATTCTGGGGGAACCCTGAAATAAGTTATGTATTCTACTTTTTTAAAAAAAAAAAATATTATAATTTACTCATTTAAGAATATTAATTTGTTCACCACGTATCCACCTATGCATACATTATATTTAATAAACAAAACGTGTTTGCATTGCTTTTTACACACATTTCTAGGTCTATTTAAATTATCTGTAGTCGCATTTCGTATTTTGAGTTTCATTTTTTTTTGTAGCACTCAGAAATATTTTTCACTTATATATATAAACATGTTGTTCTCGATAGCATTAAAATGTTTATA